CCTAAGGACGTTGCCTTGCAGTGAACGCAGCTCAGGCTCCTTGCTAATGCAAATTATCCCTTTGAAAGAATGAAATCGGTATATTGCTGATGATCAGACGTTCGATGAGGTTCTGCGTTAAGTGTTTCTGTTTGAAGTCTGGTTTGCGTGTGTTTGCCCTGCAGAATTTCCAGAAAAACATCTCTCTTGCCAGGTTTACATAGATTGTAGTCTGACAAGAAATAAATTAAGCCAAATCAGGTTAATTATGTAGGACTACCTACATAACATTAGGAAAGCCTAATCTTCATAGTCCATTAAAGTCTTTCATGTTTTAATTTGCTGAAAATGAGCAATGCCCTTTGTTCTTTGGGAATATGTTGAGCACCAAGACAATATTTTGTTTCTAAATAATAAATGTTCCCATTTATTCTGGGACAGTCAGTGGAATGCTGTTAGATGGCTTAGTCTTGCAGAAAGCTGAGCACCCTCTGCTTTTCAGTAGTCTCAAAATCTTAAAGAATAGGTTGAATATAAAATACAGAGGTATTTCCCAATTATCTCGGATCCTGTATGAATAAAATGATTGTGTCATATGGGTATGTTTATTAATTTGGAGAACAGGTGAAGGTCAAATTTGTTTCTTACTGGTGGATTTGTTTTGTTGTATTTGGATATTTTGTTTGTTTGCTTATTTGCATTTAAAACAGCTCTCCCTTAAGAAAAGTACTTATATACATTAAAATTCAAAGTAAAAGATGATCTTTAAATATTCTTTATTAAAACTTCTTTTAATTAAGAATGTAAAGCAAAGAAATCCTTTCCCTCTTTCCCCCAGAACTTCATTTTGAAGTAATCAGAGGATTAAAAAGAAAGCATCATCAGAATGTTGTTATCGAGAATGACACTACTTGAATATTCAATGTCATTCTTGCAGTTGCAGATTTTGCAGCCTAAATGAAAATATCTCATATGTACTTGGCATTACAGGGAGTGCAAAATTGCACTTCAGGCCTAGGATTAAACTGCCTCTGTAGATCAGGAAATTAAAAAGCATACTTTCAATATACCATACATATTTATTCTGTGTATTATTTTTGTATTTTTAAAATAATCACTTTACAGCTTGTTTGTGTAAGTCATAATACAGTTATGGATGGTCTAACTGTCAGTATTCCAGTTTTCTAAATCGTGTGTATGAAAACTCTCAGAGCACTTATCATTCATATAATTTCCTGAGATTTGTTCTTAAGAAAGGAATTAAAATCTAGGAGTACCGATTTATGTATTTTGAAATCTACCTCTCTATTTGAAAGTCCATAGCAGCCTGTAAACTACTTCATAACTGCAGATATTTTATGTTTTGGCTATGTATGCATGCATTTGTAAAAATTTGTTCTCTGTGTTTCTGTAACCATATTTAGTGTTTCAGACATGGTTAAAGAAAATCTGACCCTTGAGACTGCAGAAAATTTTTGATCGGAAAATCTCTCAATACAAATTGCACAATTTAAAGTTTCTTTTCAAAAGCAAAAAAGGTCAGAAAAGCAAAGCAGGGGTGTTAATAGTTACCATCGCCCAAACAATCTTTGCCCTGCCTGTTATTTTTGCCACTGGGCTTGCCTGCTGGTTAATGATCTTGAAGCTGATTAGAGTTAGACTCAGCTGAAGGGAAGAGTGGTCTTGGGGTTAAGGCCCCTAATAGCAGCTCAGTGCTCGTTTGAGTTTAAGGTTTGTGTTTCCAAGACAGTTTTCTCTTGCCACCTAATGACTAGAAGAATATTTTTAGAGAAAGGAGGCTTGTGTAGCTGATTAGAAGAACTAAAACCCATCAAATATAATGAGGATCTTGACAGCTTCTCTGTATTTGGCAGCACTGTGGGCCTTGTCCTCTCTGGGCTCTGCTGCTCCGACCTGGGGTGTTAGATGTCTCCTCGCCCTCCTCAGTGGTGCTTGAGAGGCGCGGGGAGGAGGGGAGCGGGGCAGATTTTGGGACATCGCTGCTCCCTGGCACTTCACCCCTGCAGAAAGTGCCACTCTGCTTCTTGCAAGTGCCAGAATGGGATCTTGGTCCACTCAGAGTGCTCGGTGTGCGCCTGTGTACAGCCCAACTTCATAATGTGTGAGTGTCTA